CCCCCTCAACACAATCCAGCCTATATAACTAACAGCGCCATAAGAAGAGGATAAATCAGAAGCAATGCGTCATTAGACATGAAAGGCAATGACTGTACGCTATCATGGGATTTAGTGACACATTTTCCTTTATTTAAAAATAGTCGATTTTAGAAAATAAAGAGAAGGTTGTCCACCTCTTCATAGATGTGAAAGTCACAGGACAGGCCGCGAGGCGTTGGGGAACGCCACCGAGCCGCACACAACATCAAACACACATTTTCATCGTTCAGGTAATCAGCTTGGGCAGAGGGTTATGAGGATCATACAGAAATAATACGCCAACGCTGGTAAATAAAATAAAGGTTGCTCGCAGCAGACAAAAGCCATGTAGCTGCAGGTGCGTTCAGCTTTAAAAGTCTTATTGGGAGCTCTTTCGTGGATGAAAAGGAATTTTTCATTGTCCTTCATACAAGATCAAAATCCAGTCAAATCAACAGTGAGAAAAGACAAAAACATAGATTTACATGAACTTTACACAACTAGTAGTTCAGGAAAATCAAATCAAATGCAAAGTAACTGATACAAGTGGGAGATGTGTATGAATGTGTTGTTAAAGGGGACTTATTATGATTTTATTTACTTGTGTTATAATAGTCCTGTGGTCTATACCAGTGGTTCCCAACCTTTTTCCCAAGGGACCCCTTTTTTACCAGTAAAATTTTTGACGACCCCCTCCCATTCTCTCTTCCAGTACAAACAGTATTAAGAAATGATAAAATTGTTCAAGCACATTTTAATTTGCTTGGATTCAATAGATAACAGTAATAGTAGGCTCCAGTATAGAACAAAGTCATTAACAAAACCAAACAGAGCATAATGTGCTTGACAGTTTGTATTACTTTTCTGAACACATTGTTTCTTGTAAACACTGATAAATCAATCATTCCTTTCAATAAACATTTGACACATAAAAAATACACCGAGCAAAATGTACATAAATGTGTATATTACTGTTTATACTAGATTATTTACTGTAAAGGCTGTGATTAATCAACCAGTCCCATCTTTAATGAACTTTTGACACTTGAAAATAAAACAGTGAGCTGAGCAAAATGTTCTTAAAAGTGTGTTACTTTTTCTGTACTAATTATTTCCTGTCTTAATATCAGTAAACTTTTCACTCATGAAAAAAAAAGTGAGCAAAATGTAGGCTATAAACAAGTAATAAAAAACACACCTCCTCTGCTTGGCATTTCCAGAACATGTTTGATTTTGGCCCTCTTTTATGTTGAATTTATTCCACAGTTTTCATTGGTTCACTCAATCCATTGTTTTACACATTTGTCCTGTACCAGACTGTTTCATCTAATTTGTATTTAGTAATTTGAATTGCTTTTATTGTTTTATTCAATATATTTACCTACAACTGAACCATGTTCAGCGCTTTGGGCTTCCCGACAGGGTTGCGGAAGGCGCTCCATAAATAAAGCTTTGATAGATTGATTGATTGATAAATGAAGTTTTAACCCCTTGAAGTGGAGAGGTCCTGGCGACCCACTGAGAGGCTTTGGCGCCCCCTTGTGGGGGTCGGGACCCCCAGGTTAGGAACCACTGGTCTGTACCAAACATGTTCATGAAGTTCTGTGCTGAAATCACTTGATGTGAGACGAAATTTATGCAGTTTTATTCTTGACAATTTCAGTATTTTCCAGAATGAGTTGTTTCCCAAGCTAGAGCCACGCCCACCCCGTCTCTGCTCAGGCTGCTATAAGCTGAGGAGCTCCGATACCCTGGAAGAGCTCAAAGTAGAGCCACTGCACCTCTCTTGCATGTAAAAAGTCCCATTTGTGGTGTCACAAATGGGAACATTTCAAAACGGCTCGTTTTAGGCACATCATTCCTTTAAAAAAACAGATAGTAGGATTTCTTTCAAAAAGTGAGTTTTGCATAATATTTCCCCTTTAAACAAGTCTTAACGGCGTAAATATGATACAAATAGAAACAAGTTGTTGTAAAATGAGCATATTTACATAGAAACCTGTTATAGTCAAGTGAGATGAGCCTTGTCACACAAAATCGTTCAGTTTCTGCTCCAGGAATACATAACCTGCGTGACATCAGCAATGTGCAAAGACATACTGAAGATTATAACTGCACTCCATAATTCAGTCGAACTAGAATCACAAGAAGCATGCAGTACGTATTTTGTGGACTTCACCCAATGTAATATGCTAAATTTTACTTCTATCAATTCTGGCTTAATTGCTGCATGTCCTTTTAGTATTAAGACAGAAAGGCATTTTAGTCACCCTGCAGAGGAGCTCTGCCAAGCCTAATCCCACAGAGAAAAACTGAATTAACGATGGCAGTAGGGCTGCAACAAACGATTATTTGGATAATCGATTAATCGGATGGGGTCTCGACACGATTAATCGATTAATCGGATTACATGGGGAAATTTTTAAAAACTGCTAGGGAAACGTTATTTCTCTCCTTCCTTCACTTTATTTAACACAACATTATTAGAAAACAGTTCAATAGCAGAAAAACAACATGCCATCACCTAAATTGTCTTATAAGGTGTATAGACAGAGACCCTAAGCTACATCTATCTGTGACCTAAAATGCTTGGTCCAAGTTAAACAGCTTAAGGGCAATTCTCATCTGTTTTGTTTGATCTCATCTGTTGACATTTATTTTAAATGTAATTAAACATAGGCTGTGAATTTATCAAAATTGATCACTATTTCCAAAAATGACTGAAAAAATACCAAATAAAACAAAAGTAAATGAATGCCATCCTCCTTGCGATGATGCCCTGGGCAACTGCCATAAAGTCACATCAAGAAATGCTGCTGATCATTCCAATGATCCCAAATAGACTCACATTAGGCCACATGAAAGCAACTGAACCCAAAAATATATTAACCAGTATATAACTGCACTCTCACACAACACGCCTGCAGCAACAGTTAGGACTCCTCCCTCCCTTTTAAAAGCGTTTTTGCTTCTGAGGACATTGTGGTTGTAAAACCACAAGCTAGTAGTCTGGCCCCGGTGTGATCAACCAGTTTCTGCGGGAATGTGACGGCGGAAACTGGGCCAGATTAACACTTTGTTGTACCCTGGGCAACAATATTCAAGGGCTCCATCATCACGACCCAAGGATCACCATAATGTGGTCACATACAGAATATTTTACTGTAATATGCAGTAAATATACTCAATACTTGAATGCCTGACAACACGTAACCCGCCCAGAGTAACCTTTGACCCACCTCGTGTGGACTGACCAATGAGGAGAGGGTCTTAACTTGAGGCCCTCTCTTCATTGGTCAGTCTGCATGAGACTGACTCTCAACTGACGTTCAGTCATAGGCAGCGAAGCGTCTCTGTGCAGTGCAAAAGCCCGGGTGGACAGTTTGTTTAATGTAGGGTGATCATATTTCCATTTCCAAACAAGAGGACAGGGGATCTGTGCCTATGACGTCACACTATGGCAACGCCACACAAACCATGTTGGGACCCATTATTTGTAAAAACTAAATTAATATCAGATTCTGCCAATTAAAGGGCTCTAAAACAATTCATATATAAATATTTTGCATATTTAATGCAAAATCTAATTTTTCTGCTTTAGTGCTGCAACAAGGTTTTATTAATAATAAATTATTATACCTTTTGTTTTACTACAGCATCGGTAAGCTTCCTGTGCACAGATTATTAAGGATGCTTGTTTCAGCTGTGAGATTAGACGATAGGATCAATGAAAAAATAAGTTGTCACACACTCCATGGAAACTTTCAGAGAATCCACAAATAGTGGCTTTCAAATGGTTTTGTTACTTTTTGCAAGTTTATAAAATAAGCAGATGAGACAGCATGTCTGATAATTTAGTTTTTCATCTGATAATATTAGAACATGTCAGTAATGTCTGAGGGGCTTTTATAAACACCGGATAACTAACACTACTGGAGAGGGTATGAATTACACAGAGGCTTCTGGGGAGCCCAGTTATTGGGGGGGGGGGGCATTTTGCCTTGGCCCCCAAAATGTCTTGAAACGGCCCTGGGTGTGTGACTGAGTTTTGAAGGTGATCTGAATTGTATCAGATGTATAAATATGACATGTGTATAACTTATTGTTTTTTACTGGTAAAAACGTGTAGTGGAGATAAATCTACCTACATTTTACTTTTCAACACTTTGTTTTGTTTTCTTGTTTTTATTGAACTATTTTCCTGTCCTGTCTGTCTCTCATCTTCCTGCATCTCCTCTTAATTCTCCAGAAAACCTGTTGCCTGGATTCTTACCTTTTCACCTCATCAGTTACTTTTGAGCAGATCAAAGGGATCTCCTGACCGAAAAGCGCAGAGCGCGTTTTCGATGCTGCGTGAGGTGACATCACCACAGCACAGGTGATGAGCTCCGCAGTAGCGCGCTTCAGGCACAAATAAGACAGAAAATAGAGAACATGTGCGGACATGAACGATCGTGTGCTAATTATAGTTTTTGGGTTGCGCCACTTTGAGAATGGACCGTGCGCTGGAAGCAGCTGCCTGGATCGCTGTGCAACAATGCGGAACCGGTTCGCAGCAGCTCAAGTCTGCCGGCTCTCCCTCGCGCTGATCTGCCTGTACCGGCTCTCCCTCACGCTGATCTGCGGCTCTCCCTCGCGCTGATCTGCGGCTCTCCCTCGCGCTGATCTGCCGGCTCTCCCTCGCGCTGATCTGCCGGCTCTCCCTCACGCTGATCTGCGGCTCTCCCTCGCGCTGATCTGCGGCTCTCCCTCGCGCTGATCTGCGGCTCTCCCTCGCGCTGATCTGCGGCTCTCCCTCGCGCTGATCTGCGGCTCTCCCTCGCGCTGATCTGCGGCTCTCCCTCGCGCTGATCTGACTTGCTCTGGTCTGCGCGCAACGGCGGGCGGGAAGGGGGGGCGCTTTTGGAAGAGTTGTGCGACACAACGAATCGATGACGCAATTCGTTGCCAACGCTTTTAGTAATCGATTTTCATCGAATTTATCGATTCGTTGTTGCAGCCCTAGATGGCAGGTTCTCACAATGAGCATCGCTGAGCGCCTGCCACAAAAGGAAACAAAACGACTGCTTCTACGACGAGAAAAGCAACAGTAATACTGTATAAAACCAAACATTAAAACAGCAACACCCAAAAGGAATATCACTGAAAGTGGCATTCATCCCTGCAATCTAGATGTTAAAAACACACATACAGAGGAAAAAAAAAACATGAAAACAAAGCAATGGCATCTGGGTCAAAGGGAGTTCACACAGAACGTCGGTACAGTCAGATCATTCAGGGGCAAAAACTTGGAGTCTGCAGGCTGGGGCTCAGAAGTTTCACATCAGAGTCTCTAGGTTTGCTTTTATTTCCACCCTTTTCTCGCGTTTTCTGTACCAACTGTTTGAAGACGTTTTCAGGTAACGTGAAACGAAGCAACGCAGTAAGATATTTCTTTAGATTTCCTCCTAAAAACCTTCTGCCTGGGAAACGGTGCAATCAGATTTACTTAACGGTTACAGTGATCCCTCCTACACCCCACAGGTGCTTTGAAGTGTGCAAAGAGCTGAGCTGTTTTCCCTGCCAGCGTCTGTATGCAGCACCAGCTGTCTGCAGATCCAAGCAGTAAATAAGGGACGTGTGCAGGGTTTGCAGAGGCAGCCAAGCAGGGGGAATGCAGCCACTCGTGCCTGCAATGTACATCAGCAGCTGTCATGTTACCCCCATGGACGCAACAAGAGGAGCTGGAGCATACGAGGGCAGACAGTACAGTTCAGCTAGTAGGGTTGCTGCCCCTTAACAGTTCAAATACGCTGCTTCCTCATGCACAGCAAACCTCTGCAAATCAAACTGTGGCTCGGATGATGAAAGTCATAAAACCGATTTTTAAAAATCTAAGAATGACCTCTAAAGAAAGTACGAGTGGAACGATGCGCTGCACTGAAAGAATGTTTGAGTTTGACCAATTTTCTCTTCGTTATTAGCTCACGTGGCAGAAAACAAAGTTCAAGACTTCGTCCAAAACCAAACGAATTCTCCATACAACAATTATACGGACCTAAAATTAGAACTCAGCCACTTCAAACCGAATGACACTTTATCGGCTTCAATCAACAGCTGCTGTGGCAGTGCAGGCTGTAGCCGCTGGACCTATGCGAAGTAGCTGCTCCTGAAACACTTTGAACACTGAGCTGATTATGGATCATTTGAGGTGATTAAATAAAGCAAATGTATTCATATAGCCGCACTATACCCGTCAGACAATTTTCAACTGAATATTCAGGCTTTAGCTGGAAGATTATTCCTAAAATAAACGCAACCATTTATATATGCTAAAAATAAAAGCTAACATTCTGTAGGAACAACACAAATGGATGGATTTCAAATGAACATACGCCAAAAAATGTAAAAAGCAACACAATGCTGAGTTGCTATTAAAATTCAGAGCTGCAGCAACAGCAAAAAACAAAGGGAAGAAGCTGCAGAGGCGGGCAAGGTAGGGAAAATGAGCCAATGGAATTGCATGAGCAAATGCTTTCAAACAAAATTCCCAGTATTTCATCCTCCTGTGTTTAATGTGAACCTAAGCCCGCACAACTTTCAAGTTCCAACCACTTAATCAAACTGTCACCGACTGACTCTCTAACTCAACACGGACCTATTTTGCTTTGCCAAAACGAGCTGCAAAGTATATTTCTCACGAACAGTCACTGTAAAAGACGGCTGATCTGACAGAACTCTAGATTTGTTTCATTATTCTAATTTAGCTTTGCCTCTTTGATCCTTTAACATCTTCAGATGTCACAACGACTTTGCTTTAAAAACGCCATAAAAAATAAAACGAGATATAAGCCTGACACCCACAGCTAAAGGGATTCCCTAACAATAAAGGTAGCTCTTTATAACAGCCAATCTTCAGAGGCTCTGAAGAGACAAACTGGAGGGCTATACTGTTTAAGTCAGCGAGAGCTGAGGAGTATTTTGGGTCTACAGGAGGTAGGCTGATACTCGGGCGTCCTGTGGTGCATCAGTACGTAAACAGACATCAACGGACGTGTCCTACAGGGCATGTTGCCATACCTTTCTGCCTGGCTTTGATCTGCCTACATTTGAGCCACCCCCTCTTCTCGTGGCTGCGTGAAACGTAAGCTTACATGAAATATGAGTAGCTGCGAAAGAGAGGTGCAACGGAGTAATGAGGAATGAATGTCAAATTCGAAGCTTCCTGACACGTGCAAAGAGATTCGGGGTGTGGGGAGAAAAATGGAGACAGGGGCTGATAGGAGGAGGAGGAAGCCTCCGGCCGTCCTCGTGCCAACACTATTGATGACTGAAGCAAGACTGTTTGGCGCTTTTTCTCAGTAATGCCATGTGCCCGCTCCCCGTCCCGCTCGCTCCCCGCAGCTCTGCTCGCGTGATCAAACAAAGACAGCGAACACACAAACACATTCTAGTCTCAAAGTCAACACTTCATCACCCGGATCACATTGTTTCACAGGACACGTGAAGCACTAACAAACCATTTAACACCAGATGCGTCTCACCAGGAACTGTAATACCAGTGCTGTCTGGCACCGCGTCGTGTGTGTGGTAACAGGCAGATTTGTGCATTACGGTTTATACTTCAGTGGATATCAGAGACATTTCCATATAAATGATTGCAAAATGTTCCTCCAACACTATGTCTATAACCAAAAATTCATTAGAAACCACGCCGACAGGTCTGTGCCCCCAACAGCAACGTGATCTACACACACACACACACACCGCATGTATGAGCGCACTGATCCGCTCAGCGCTTACATTCCACAGGAGCGCCAAAGGTAAACAAAGCAAAAATAAAAACTAAAAATCTAGGGGGTTTACAATAAAACCGCAACATTTCAAAGACACGGGGAAGTGAGTGACGTAAAGAACTAAGCACGCCGTATCGGGTCTTTATTCATTTACAAGTAAAAATAAAAATAGTGGGCTTCAGAAAAGAGAATAAACCTCCACATTCTCCATTCCATGGGTTTGCTTTGCCTTGGAGACAATGTCTGAGAATTAGTAAACTCTTCATGTCCTCAGAATCCACCAGTCCTTCCTGCAGATTGTTAGTTCAACCCAAAAAACCAAAACGAGACAAAAATATAAAGTATACTTCATTAATAACCAGCGGATTTTTCCTCACTTGCCAAAAGTAGGTGTCCCTTCTGTTCCAGTTGTGTTACTCTTTGGCAAAATGAACGGTAAGAGAAAGGAGCAAAAAAGTGCGGGAACACAGCTGGAATCTGTACAGTTCTAGGAAGAGGGCAAAGGATGCTCTACAGATGTAAAGTGAGAAGGAAGCATAAACGTTTATATCAGAGTCTTATCCCATCAGGCAGTGGGGCTCCTCCACGTCAGGTGCCTCCACCCGAGGCTAAGCGTCGTACTTTTTCCCCGTTCTGTGGATGTGGTGGAACAGTGTCATGGAGAATGCCATTCCTAGGAGCTGCAAGGAAAAGGAGAGGGAGAATTTGAATTTTGTATCACTGTTCATTAGGGATGGGTACCGAATTCGGCACCGACTGAATTCCACAGTACCGACTGAGTACCGATTCACATCATATGAAATGGTGCCTTGTTTCAGTACCTGTGCCGCTCGCCGGCGCAAGCTGTAAACAAAGCAGCACGGCAGAGAGGAAGCGTTCTGAAGTTTGGGTCCACTTTACTCAATGGGATGGGTAACTGGGTGATGATGAAACCAGTAAAAACGATCTAAGTGAGGCATCATCATCTTAATCTGCTCGGTAGGTAAATAAAATGTTTAAGATAATGGTAGCTTGAAATGTTAGCTTCCGTTCAGCTAATGCTGCCTTTGCTTTATCCTTGGAATGCCGAAATTCCGACTAGAAGAAAGCAAATGTGCTCTGAGGTTTGGCTTCACTTCACTAAATGCGATAGGCTATTGGGTGATGAGGAAACCAGCGACAACGATCTGAGTATGAGGCATCGTTTAAGACCACGTTAGCTTGATAGTTTTGTTTTTGTTTACATAGCTAATGGTGTGTTCGCTTTCTCCTCAGAAATTCCAACTTCTGAGTAGGGAAAATAAACTGTTTGAAAAAGGCCAGCAAAAGGAATGAATATACACAGAAAATTTAGTTCACAGCAAATGTTTGCTCTTAGGGCTGCACAATGTATCGCAAATATATCGTTATAGCGATATCAGCATGCGCAATATGCATATCGCAAAGAATGGTCAGCTGAACTGTTTGCTACACATAATGCATTCTGTCAAATGGAAGAATGATGTTTTTTTAACAAATCAAAAGAGCTCTTCGCCCATTTGGCCAATTGGGTGGGTTCTCATAGGTTAGATGTCCGCCCCGAGGCGGACATTACATAATTTTGATGGTTAGCAAACACCTGAGTTAGCTTGTTCTGCTCTTTCTGCTGATTCTGCTTTTCCCGGGATCCACTGATTGCCTTTTGTTGTTCATTTTCTTTTTCCCTTTCCTCGCATCTTTTGCTTTTCTCATCTTTATGAATTTTTTAGTCTTTTTTTTATTTCTTTGTTTTCGATTATTTTTGTCCCTGAGTTAAGTTTTTATTTATCGCGAGTAATTTCGTCTTCACAGTATTAATCACTGTTATTGAATATTATGCAGCCCTGTTTGCTTCAGTGTAATTTGCAGTTTATAAAACTACAAAGACCCACTCATCACACAGTTTGTCCAGAGGGAAAAGAAGAAGAAAAGGAGTACATGAAGCTGGGTTTAGTTTGTATTTTAATATTGTGGTGTTTCACAAACTGTTGTATGGTGTTGAAGTTTGCTTTAGTTTGCTGTTGTATGGTGCATTTGTAGTTTGGAATACATAACATAGTAATAACATAGTTATTCCAGAGGGCTTGGAAGAGGATTAGGAGTACTTGGAGCTGGGTTTGTTTTTGCGTCATTTAGAAACAGTCGTTAAAAGTTTTCATATTGAAGAATTTTGTACAACACTACGATGATAAAATACAAACAGTTGTATGTTATATTTATCAAATATGGGTATATATTTAATTTAAAAAACAATTAAAATAATTACTAAACACTCAAAAGTATCGAAAACTGGTACCGTTAAGTACCGGTATCGATTTGTAGATACCGGGAATTGTATCAGTTCAAATGTCAAAGGTACCCATCCCTACTGTTTATTATAGTTGGTGTGTGTGCGTGTGTGTGTATTCCATCTGATTGTGATTTTGATGCACCATACACCCAGTAGTGACGTAAAGACATTTTTCTGCTCCTTCTTCTCTGATGGTCTTCAAACATGAGCTTTGGAATTGGTTTGATGGAGGAAAATGTGTGCTTGCATGAGCATCAAGTCAATCAAGTAGATTCAGAAAGTCAGCCATCTCTTTGAAGTTCCCATTACTCCTGATTCTTCCACATCAAACACTGGCTGATCCTAAAACCATTATGTTGGAAAGTTTGAATGACAGAGAAAAATACAATCTGGAGCGATAATTTTGATATTTTTTGAAGTAAAAAGGCAAAGTTGTGTGGCCAGCCATTTAGTTCGAGTCTAAATCTAACTCATTGAGCTTTGAAAAAGCAAAATGCTATTTTAAGATGCTGCAAATAAACCCAGAAGCACCGTGCCAGGTAAACATCCATCTAAGGTAGGAGTTAGGACCAAAGAGAAGCTGCCTCAGAGTCAACCCATTTATTTACATGCAGCTTATCTGGAAGCTGCTGTCCACTTCATTCAGTCTGCTGCCTGGCAGCTACGGCAGGACGTTCCAGAGCTTTAATCATTCATCTACCGCTCCACTGATGAACACATTTCAGAGGGTTTTATAAACCCTGCATGTACAGTGTGTCGGTTTCAGTCGAAGTTTAGTTTAAATGATTCATAAAATACAACAAAACACCTGCAGCTGCTAATGATCATCTTTATTGGTACATCATCGATGCTGCTGTTGAATAAGCAGAAGGTCCTCACTTTCGCCACCCAGAGATCAACTCTGTGAATGCGTGTGTTTGTGTAAGGCAAAGTAAAAAAAAAAAAAAAAAACCCAGAAAAAACAAGATTAGCTTGCATTTTCTGCAACAGCATTGCTTACAGCAAAGTTTTACAGAAGTCCTTGGATTTGTTGCCTTCGCATCGTCTGATGTCTGGTTGACGAGGCTAAATTACAGATTTTATTCAATCATACTGAATTCAGATTTTCATTGGAGCTTGTGAAGCTCATATAATAATAGTAATTGAGTTTTATTTAGTTTTAAAAGTCAGATTTCTCAGCCTCCTGATAAACAGATCTTAAATGACAGCTAAATGATCAGTTTTCTGGAGTTTCCGCTTTAAACAACTAAAACTCTCATTTGGTTTTATTCCCTTTTTAGTTTCTGCTTGATCAAAAATCTAAAAATACAAAATCACTGACAGCTTTATTTAACTCCACAGAAGGTGAAATATCCCTGCAGCGGATGCGGACGTGTTAAAAACCCCCGCTCTGTCTTGTGCACCACTGTCGTCACAAACCTGTCTGAGATGGATCGATCTTCTGTTTGCGCCTCTTTGAGAGAATGTTTTCACACTCTCGTCTTTGTAGATTCACAACTACGTCCATGCCAGATCTATTCCTGGGTCAGCTTCCACAGCAACACTTCTTTTGAGGCCGTTTAATCTCCGCCTCACATTTCTGACAAAACTTCACCTTCAAATCATTTCCACTCCTCCAGCCCTCCTGAGGCAATCTGCAGCTGTTGTCGACCTAAATGCAACCTCTCATCCTTATTTACTTTTGACGCGCACATTTATGTTTGCATACTTATATCTCCTATATTAGTGCTCCCTCTGTGTTATTCCCTGCAGTCACTTCCTCTCCACTTTGATTGCACGTCTTGCTTTATTTCTTTTGTGCTTCCTGAAACGTCTGCGACTGTGCTCGTGGCAAGACACGTCTTTAGTCACGCTTCCTTCAGACCAAGGTGGTTTCACCAGGAAATCTTTTGGTTGAAGTTTCTGTTTTTTTGGGGGGGGGGGGGGGGGACTGAGTTTGAGCATTAAGGTCGGTGTTAAGATAATGTTTAAATACCTCTGAGTGCTAATTTGGACAGTTGACTTTATATTCAAGCTTTGATAATTTGCCTTTGCATTAACATTAAATGATTGTTTCTGTGCAGCTGAAGCAGGGTAAGTCTTAAGAAGTCTTAAATTTGCTTTTCCAAATTTAAGGCCTTAAAAATCCATAAAAATGACAAATGATCCTTAAATACAGTTTCCAAAGGTCTTAAATTACCAACGACCCAATAAACAAGATTCTTTTATTTCTATAAAATTTTCAGCATTTTGTGTGTACGATATTGGCATTAGTGGAACCATACACATTCAGTTGGTTGTGAAAGGGGGCTATTTTTAGATGAGCACATTAGCTGGTTAAGCTAGTGGGAGCTTGTGCCACGGAAGTGCAAGTTTAATGGTAATTGGATGGCTAATCCCACGTTCGCGACGTGGTTAGCACCAGTTCCAGGCAATAGCTGGAAATTATAGCTTAAATTTTATTTTACAAAAAGTTGCTTAAATTTGGTCAAAGTGGCCTTAAAAAAGGTCTTAAAAAGTCTTAAATTTGGCTCCCTTAAACCTGCAGATACCCTGTCTACTGTACAGTCACAGGTGGGAGGGAGATCATGGGAGAAGCGCAGAGCACATTGACTCCTGCAGGTTGATGACCTCGCCAGGCTGAAGTCCACCAATCCGAAGGGGGTGGGGGGTGGGGGTGGGAGTGTAGGTCGGGTTTTCACAGCATCTGTCTGCATTCCTTTGTGGGGGTTTGTTGCTCAAGGCTACCAGGGCGTCAGATTCAGAAAACAAGAATTTGTTTGGGTCAGGCTGAGATAATTTTCCTCTCTGCCTTCAGTCTTTAAACTGGTCATTCCAGTCCTTCAGTGAAGCCAATTTGGGTTTTTAAACTTGTCCATACCGTCCGGTGACCCTCTCCGAGATGACGTCAATTTTGCGCACTAATACCGGTATTGCAGCTAGAACATTGTCCAGCTTACGATTCACCTCAAGTAACGTCCCAGTCTGTGAAGTCTCCACACGGATGGTGCTTTCCGTGGGTGCGGGTCGCCCTCCAATCGCTCCCGTCTTAAAAGTCTTGAATTTGGCTCCCTCAAACCTGCAGATACCCTGTGAAGACGCAAACACTGTGCATCCGTAACAGTGTTCTGCTTCGGGTTTGTAAAATACATTTTGTACCTTCTCCTTTGTGCCTATGAAAAGAAAAATAGGCACCCTCAAATTCTGGTTTTGAAATGTGCCTATTAGAAAAAATAGTTCACACGCACCTGTAATCAATTTAGTCATCTATTATACTAACAGGTATGTTTTCAGTCAGTCACAGAACCTGAAACACCTGCAGAGTATTCACACATGTACAGAAAGAACAAACAAATTCTGCTCGAGAAGACCTAAAAATTTTCTGCAGCTCCATTGTAATTTGCCTGCATATTA